AGTTCTGTGGTTCTAGTTCTGTGGTTCTAGTTCTAGAGTTCTGGTTCTTCGGTTCTGGTTCTTGTTCTGCGGTTCTGGTTTTATGGTTCTGGTTGTGGTTCTGCGGTTCTGGTTCTATGGTTGTGGTTCTATGGTTCTGGTTCCATGGTTCTGGTTGTTGTTCTGCGGTTCTGGGTCTGTGGTTCTGCAGTTCTGGGTCTTTGTTTCTATGGATCTGTAGTTTTCGTTCTAGTTCTATGGTTGTGGTTGTAGGGTTCTGGTTTCATGGTTCTGGTTCCATGGTTCTGGTTCTGTTGTTTCTTCTTCTTATTGATTAAATTAAAACATCATAATGAAATAAACTGCCCAGCTGCTCTAAGCCCCGCCCCATTTGGGGCAGAGTCTAAGCCCCTCCCACTCGAACAGTTTCCGTTTCCGGATGTTATTCCAGCAGATAGAAGGAGCAAAGATGGCGGAGTCTGAGAGAGAGGCTCCGTCAGTTCTGTCTGCGGACTTCATGAACTTCTCCCCTAAAGACTCGGCCTCGGTAAGTGTCTTCCTCCGAGTTTCGTCCCGCTGACTCGGTTCGGTCCTCCGGGCATTTGGGCCGCGCTCAGGCCGCCTCTGAGGCTCAAGTTTGGGGTTAATCTCCCCGCAGCTTGGCTTGTTTTCAGCCTAGGAGCTAAAGCTGCTAAGGCCGATGACAGCAGACTGGCTGGGGGGTTGACGTCATGCACCGGCCAACCAACGCAGGTGTGACCTTTCACCTCTGGACCAGGTGTCAGTTGCCTTGGTAACAGTTGCGAATGGCTGCAGGAACCTTCCTTAGAACTCCGCATCGGGTCGGTTCCCGGGTTCCTCAGGGTGAGTAGGCTGGGCTCCAACCGGGTTCCTGGAGCCGGGTTCTGTGAGTTCGGGTCGGTACCAGACCTGCATGACTCCCTGGCTGATCGCTTCTGATCCTTTAGGACCTACAGGCTGACTGGGGTTGTCCAGTTCAGGCTCAAGGCCCTGGTGGGTCAACCCTAAAACTGACCCAGAACCTTGAGCCCAGAGTTCTGCAATGAGGGACGGGTTGGGATGAAGTCCCAGACCCAGGCGGTGGCTCTGACCCAGAAGGTAGCTGTTAGCAGGGGTTCAGCTCTCAGCCATGGCTTGATCCGGGTCAGCGGGTCACTGTTAGCAGGTCTAAGCGGGTCACTGTAAGCGGGTCACTGTTAGCGAGTCACTGTTAGCAGGTCTAAGAGGGTCACTGTTAGCAGGTCTAAGCGGGTCACTGTTAGCGGGTCACTGTTAGCAGGTCTTAGCAGGTCACTGTTAGTGGGTCTAAGCGGGTCACTGTTAGCGGGTCTTAGCAGGTCACTGTTAGCGGGTCTAAGCGGGTCACTGTTAGCGGGTCTTAGCAGGTCACTGTTAGCAGGTCTTAGCAGGTCACTGGTAGCGGGTCACTGTTAGCAGGTCACTGTTAGTGGGTCTTAGCAGGTCACTGTTAGCAGGTCTTAGCAGGTCACTGTTAGCGGGTCACTGTTAGCAGGTCACTGTTAGCGGGTCTTAGCAGGTCACTGTTAGCAGGTCACTGTTAGCAGGTCACTGTTAACAGGTCACTGTTAGCGGGTCTAAGCGGGTCACTGCTTCCTGGGAGAACCAGACTGGGTTTTAGAATCGGCTGTTTGGATCTAGGTTAAAATGATCTCCTGGTGCAGAACCAGGACCCGTGGTCCCAGCTGTTGGGTTCTTCCCTCGGGTTCTAAACCGTTCCCCTCAGCTTCTGGTTCCACGCAGCTACAGCTCACCCGGTACAATAAAACCGCAGCATTTAAAAGGTCACCGCTCACCATGTTTGTTCTCACGCTGTGACCCGACGCTCTGATGTCATCTCACGACAGCCGACTGAAAGTCAAACATGTTTGATTTCCTCGTTACCCCCGTACAGCTACACCATGCATGATCAGGCTGAAAGTCCGCCCCATCGGAAAATTCTTGCACGACTGGAAGATCGACCTGAAAAAACATCACAGAGAAGGTGCCTTATCTAGAGAAAGCTTTGAATCAATCTGACTGGATGATCTGGTGACCTGTAAAGTGACCTGAGATGACATGATGTGAATTGGCGCTATAGAAATGAACTGAATAGAAACTGAAACCGCCCGGCTTTAGTTTGGTTCTGGGGCGCCCCACCATCAGCAGAACCTGTTGTTGTGATCAGCATTGTTTGATGTCGTCCTTCTGTCAGCCTCCCATTAACCTTCCTCCTTTTCTTTAGCGCTGGCTGGAGGCCCCCGACCTGCAGCAGGAGGTCTATGGTCACCTGGCCCACTACGTCCCCCGGATCCTGTGCCAGGGGCCCCACAGCGGCGGCGGCAGGGAGCAGCAGAGGGAGGAGCTGGCCACCCAGCTGCTGCTCCTGGCTCCTCTGGAGTGGTTCCTGCTGGGGGGGGAGCCGGCGTCCGGCCTGGCGATGCTGCAACAGAACAACCGCTCCCCCCCGCTGTGCGGACGGGTCTTCAAGGTGGGGGAGCCCACCTACTCCTGCAGGTAAGGCCACCCATTAGGGGTCTGCTTCAGTGTCTGCCCTCTGAGCAGACCTGGATAGAAGAGGCTCGCCCAGACCCAGCAGAGAACAGAAGGAATCTGCAGATAGCAGGGCGCTAAGAATTCACCTGAGGAGTAAAGATCAGGAGAAAGGAGCTGAATCAGCTCCATCTGAACCTTCATCCATTAGCCCCATTTCCACTACCCTTTAGAAACCGAGCAGAGATCGGTCCCAGCACGGTAACCATGGTAACCGCTGAGCGTAAATGTTAGGCAGAACGGAACCGCGCCGCGTTAGCATGGTGCTAGTTCATCAGTAGGGCTCGGTTCTCAATGAGCAGACCGCCTCATCTCCGTAAAATCCTAGCTTCCCACGATTTCTAGTGATGGTTCGTCTTAGCGTTGCGATGCCCTGATTAGACGATTGTTTGTCGTATTCACTTCCCAAAAAACGACTCTGCCAAGGAAATTCACCAAAGGCTGCCTTCTTCGCCTGACTCTCTGCAAACTTCCTGAATATACAGGTGTCTAGGTCTGTCTAGGTCCATCCGTGACTGAGGACGGGTCTTCGGGTCCGTCCTTGTCGGAGGACA